TTACTAACGAAAAATAAGTAGTGTATATATATATATATATATATATACTACTTACAAACGAAAAAAATAAGTAGTGTAATCGAGTGCTATGGCAAAAATACAAATTTGCTTCATCGACAATCCCACAACTAAATTTGCTATTGAAAAAAATGCCTTACCTTCCTTAAATTTTGGTGTGAAAGTGGCGTGTTGGTTAGCGTGTCTAAATTATACGCTGCACATAGTCTTGTTTGCCAAAAGGTATTCTCATCCAGAAAGGAGGGGTTTCAAGGTTCGACCTCGCTTTAATTGGTCTCATCAGCACTGCCAGCGGGACTCGAACTGTGGCAATGCCGCGGGTAATCTCCACACGTCACTCACTACGCCGAATTGCCACGAGTGTTCATGGGTCACAGGGTAGATGTAAATTTCAAGAATGTCCAGGAATTTTTTCACATCAATCTCTGTGCTTATAATCTCGATGAAGCAAAGTTATATTCAATTTAGCAATCGACTACATTGTTTTTTCATTTATAAACTGGTTTTCCAAACTATCAATCGAATATATATATATTTATTTATTTATAGCGCCGTGAGGGCTGACGAAACCTAGTCTAGGTAGAAATTGTAGTTCACTCCATTCTGGATTTAACCTTATATATATGAAACTTAATGGAAACGTAAAGTTTACGGTGAACTTAAACTATCAATCCCCTTATCAGCTTTAACGAAATAAGGTTAATTCACCTCATATATATATATATACTACTTACAAACGAAAAAATAAGTAGTGTAATCTATTGCAATGGCAAAAAAACAAATTTGCTTCATCGACAATCCCACAACTAAATTTGATATGGAAAAAAATATGCCTTACATTCCTTAAACTTTGGTGTGAAGGTGGCGTGTTTGTTAGTGTGTCTAAATTATACACTGCACTATCGGGAACCAGGTTCGAGTCCCGCTGGCGGTGCAAATGAGACCAGTTCAGGCGAGGTCGAGGCTTAGAAAAGAACACCTTTTGTAAAATCAAGGCTATGAGAACTTTACTGGGAACGTAAGGTCTGTTCATATCTTTGTGGTAAAATTCAACTGCCATTACCTACTCAGCTTAAACAAAATAGGGTGAACACAATTCATAAAACCGTCATATAAATTAAAAACTAGCTTTTATGTCTTTCACCAGCACATTGCCTTAAATGCGACCCTTTACGATGTAGCGCCTATGTTTAACTGGTATACACACCTCCAATATATACTACTTGACTACTCACAGTTGTTGTTTAAAGTTGTTTTTTAATTCTTGTTGCCTTGCTGGCTGTTTATCCACTAGATCTCCAAGTATTCAGTAAAATCGCACACCCTCATTGCGGATACTTCATTTGCCGGTGCGTTGAAACTCGAAGTAGCCCTCAGTTCTCCGCTAGCTACTGGCAGCTGGAGTTATACCTGGGATCATCCGAGTGAAGAACAAGGTAAGCCTCCATCCGTGAAGATGGGACGAAGCAGAAAACCCAACATTGTACATATTGACACACTTTAATGGGGAAAAACGTCGACAGCAAGGCCTGTCCGGGAGAAGTGTTTTCTCTCCCAGCCCTAAACACCGAGTACACAAGCCCATCTTGTCTGGCTGTATGGGGCTCATGTATCGGCTGCTCGTCACTTTGGTACCATACGTGTCTGGTTGTAGCTGTGCTGAACTCGGGCGCCAAGTCTCATTTACTTGAGCCTGCTGCATCGCGAAGCTTCCAAGCATAATTACATCAACCCGATTTTAAGTCAAGTCCTGCAAGTGTTGCGTCGAAGTTGGGATATTCACTTTCAAGACCCAATGCGCAATCTGATAATCATGGAAGGCTGAGTGTAGCTCACTTTTGCGATTGAAGGATCCAAGTTTTGTGGCATTGTTGAGAAAATAAGAGCATCTTGCAAAGTAGACCTTGTTTTTGCAACTTGGTCTTGTCGTCAGGACGACTTAGTCGAACGCATCTTGTCCGTAGTCCCAGAATCAGACATTTTGAGGACAAGACCATCTTGGTCTTCGAGAAGGACCTAGCCGTTGGGTGAAGAGGTTGGAAGGTCCCATCGTCACAACCAATTTCAAACTAACGAGTTGTCCTGACTACAAAATGTAGAAACTACATTATATGAAATACAAATCTTTAGTTTTCTTGACTCGTCAGCTTGAATTTGGTCGTGATGATGATACCATGCTCTGATAATGTTCGTCACATGACGGACGACAGCTTAGCCCCTTTTCACCGGAATCGAAGGAGTTCGCCTCGGAAACAGCGTCAGCATGAATGTTCCCTTAAAGCCAATCGACAGCTGGTCAAGAGGAATCGACCTCGGAATCTCCTCACCAAACACTTTCACTCGAAATGGAAATAAGCTCAACAATTCAAGATACTAATTAATGAATGCCTTGAATATCATTTATATCCCATCTGTACCGGAACATTAGATGGATAGAATGTCTATCATTTGATGTATTTGTGATATTCCAGACCCTTGTAATGAAACGTTATTAACTGTCCTGTCCTAAAATACCTTCGGAATGACCTCTTGGTACTCTTCAACAGGTTGGAAAAAGTTAGGGTCCAAAAATATGCCTAATTACTGTTTTTACCATTTTGAATGTATACACTCGTTAAAGGTTTCGCAATAACTTACATATAATTTGTTTAATTCTATTTCAGAAATCCCTCTCAAACAATTAATGAAATCTCCCGTTGGTATGTTTTTCCCATTCACAATGCATGCATTGTTCTCAGTTCTTTTATTGCCTAAAGCCAGTAAATATGCATTTGGAATAGTTTGCAGATTCAGTCTATTTGTCGGTTATGCT